AATAATACAGCATTATGCTATCTTTAATACAATTTATAAATAACTACTTTTATTTTGTTGCTGGGTAACTGTGACCCAGAAGAGTTGACTTTGCATAAAAGGAGCCCACAGTCCACTAGTCTTGGTGTTTTTCCTATAATCTTCTCATACAGTGGTTAGAAGGGATTTGATGGAAGAGTAACTCAAAATAATTTTTTCACCCATGTTATTGTTTTTTAAGACAGTCTGTTGCCTTTTCCTACAGTATTACCAAAGAGAAGAAAAGTGTTTCCTTCCCCTCTCTTAGAAGTTCAGTATTTAGTCAACCATTACAATTTCCAGTAGAAAAGAACTCTTCAAATACCTCTAATCTGTGTTATAAATCAGGGTAAGATCTGAATGGTGGAAAGGTAGGGTGACCAATTCATCCCTGTTTGCCTGGAACTTTCTCAGTTATAGCACTGAAAGTCTCATGTCCCAGAATAGCCCTGTCTCAGGCAAACCAGGATGGTTGGTCACCCTAAGAAGATGACGTTAAGGTCCAGAAGCCAAGAACACCCAAATCCTACCTTGTCTTAAACTCCCAACTCCGCAAGAGGCTCCTGCAGAGGCCATATAAAGGAGAAACAGCAGCAACGGGTAAATATAGTGTTCCATTTGATTACTAGTTATTATTAGGCTAGGTCACTCCTGATACCCCTAGAGAGAGTTACAGTAAAGCTGTGATGGAGCACACGGATAAGTCTAGAGACCAAAGGGTTCTATATTGCTCCTTCAACCCAAATTTTAAAATCTTACAAGCTAAGAGGACTTTGGCCTGAAATAAAGTAAAAACAGAAGAATGAAGCAAAGATGAAAGGGTTTAGGTCGATGTGCAAGGAAAAAAGGAAAGAAAAATGAGAGCCTTGGCTCAGTATCTCTCTCCTGGTCCATGGAAACATGATGAAGAGAGTGCCACATGTGTGTGGTTTTTTATTGCTGAGTGCCTCTTCTTATTGGTAAACATAGCCTAATCCATGTTCTGGAACATTAATAGCATCTCCTCCCGAAGGGGGAGCCAGGAGTGAGAGTGGCAGAAGAGAGGCGAGACATTCCCCTGGCACAATGCTAACAGCAAAACTAAACCAAGAGGCATGGAAGTGTCACTGTGTGAATATGTGAAACCTCTATAAGAAATTCATTTCTGAAATAAATTTTTAAATTCAAAGCTTATTTCAAAGTAATAGAAGCCTTTTTAGTTTCTTTAGTAGACAATTTATTTTGATAAACTTGCTCAATAACAAAAATACAAGTGAAGAAAATTATGTTCATTTTATACAGTTTGTATTAACAATTTGTTTTGAAACTATTAATCGAAAAATGTTATAACCAATTAGAAAACAATTCTTAATAAAGTTGGGGTAATATACAGGCCTTGATGACAAACTTTAAAATCTCTTGAGGTGATATAACTAACAAGTCCTATGTAGGGAATCCAACCTACACAGGTCACTTTTTTCCTTCATATATTTTTATCCTTCAAAAATTAGTTCTGAAAGACAGCTTACAGTTTTGAATTCTGAATGTAAATTTAATATTTTAAAGAAGATCAAATTGGGTTGATAAAACAGTTACTACAATCAGAGTAACTGTGGCCAGTAGTCTTTTAATAAAGACAAAATAAATGCAACATGTTCCTCCCATGAAGCCCATGATGCAAAATAATAGCTAAGAGTAGTATATTCAAAGTTAGTTTCCAATACTTTTTCAGGGTCTTTCCTCTAAATCAATTGGTTGTATGTCACCAGGACTGTTCATTGTTTTACTTAAGAGATTAAACAGTGAATTCACAGAACGTCAAGTGGGGATCTCAAAGATTTAGGCAAAAGGGTAAAAACCAATGAAGTGTTTTGGTCATCTAGAACATTAAAAAGAAAAAAAAAAAAAGAGCCGTCCTTCAAAAACAAAACAAATGAAACGGAAAATAGGCTTATAAGAAGTAGAAGAGTCAGAAAAATTACATACACACGTTAACAACATAGAACATGGATTACCTTTGGAAAGAATCATACTGATATGTTTGCTTTTAATGAACTGAAGATTTTTCATGTTTACAGATGTTTAGGCATGTTCAATAGGAGCTTCCAAAACTTTCAAACTAATTAAGTCTTGTGCAAATAAAACCTATAAATATTTTTCAGCAGATTTTACAGTGATATTCTTAGGTATGAGAAGAATGCACACACTCTAAAAACAATGTAACAGACAAAAATTTGACAAATGATTGCACCATTAAACAGTGTTTTATATACAGTTTACAAGATATGATTTCCTGCTATAAATTAATACTGTACTATATAGTACTTATTATAGTGACCTTTTTAAAAGCAACTGCTGACAGTTGTCTATCTTTTCACTTACAGGATTTATAGAATTTTATATAAATGAGTCCATTTCAATGTTTGGTCTGGAAGAGTACAAAGATTTGACTTCACATACTACTTGATGGGATGGTTTTAATCCTGGGTTAGAGTGCTGACTGGTTAGAGGGAGTTTTCCCCTATCAGCCCTTAGTGCACTGGACCTCCAAGACGATGATGAAATTAAAGACAATTTAATGGTTTGTGTAATAGATACAAATAAAACCTTAAATTCTGCAATCTTATATGCAATAATACCACTGTGAGTGAAAGACGTAAACAGTGGGGAAATTCTTAGCAGCTGAGAAACTTTCTCTCCCCATGCTCATGATCCAGTTAAAAATATATTGAGAAACTATTTACAATAAAATTCATCTTTTGGAAGAGAAAAGCTCTTGGTCATATCATAAGTTAATTTGAACCATACTTTGCTAACCCTTTATTTCAGTGGTATAATGGTGACAACCAAAGCTTTCCTTCAAAGTGATCCATTTGACTGAGGTCCAATCAAATCGCAATGGGAACTGCCATCCCAAATGTCCATAGCACATGTCCAGTGGTATTCTTAGAACTGACTAGACATCATAATACTTGGGGAAAATTAGTCTCCCTCAGGCATTTCCTAGAGGTTTCTTTGGACTCTGGGAAGGAAATGTGTGACATGCCCCCAGCACACTCAAGGAACTCACCCCAGTGGTGGTCTACCTCTTACCTGACTCCTGAGTGAGCTGAAACACTGGGGTTTTCTTCCACAATAAAATACTGCTGAATTAACAGTAAGATATATGAATGTCAAACAAGCCAGTGTGAAACACATCAGGCTCCTCCATTTCATACCTTGAATATCTGGGGAGGCAGCCCCATCTCTGAAGTAATCATTAAAAAAACAAAACAATACAGTGCATTCATTTCAGTTTGTGTGAAACAAGGTACCCTAACTCTTCTGATAGGGACATTTCGGTTGCCGTTGCCATGAAAGACTCCATTGCCATGAAAAACCCTCCTGCCCCACATTTCAAACAGGAGATTATCTATTGTGTTCACCTGGAAAAACAACTAAGCATTGACATAAAGACATGGAGATGTGGAGAAGAGAAATACTATATTTTAAAACTCTGTGGGCTCAAGGGTTAGCTGCAATGCTTCTTTCTGGAAGAAGTGTAAAGCTGTGGGTCTAGTACAGCCCTTTAAAGTAAATGCAAAAATGTTAGCTTTTAGCAAACAAAGGTATATAGCATTTAAAGAAAATACTGTATTGCTCAGGTTTTTGGTAAAGGAGATTATTAATAATGCTTAGATGAAAAGAAACATAAATTTAATTTTTATGGCAGAGTGAAGTTAATGTTATAAATAGCCAAAATATTGTAAATTGATATTACTAGTGAATTTTGTATTTCTGTAAAGTTGTGTGCTTAAACATATAAAATGCTTTATTAATGTAACAGAACGAGCCAGTAGAAAAAGAGAACCTCTGTACAACAGACAACAGTTGCCAATAATTTAAATAGTGTCAGATTCCCCAAATTATAAGGTTTGACATGATCTTACTTTCTACTATCATAAACAAATAAATTAACCCTACAAAGAATTTTAGCTTAACTTAAAATTACACCTAGAAAGGTATGGGATTATTTGTACCTATTACAAAAACCTGTTAAAATCAAGGGCTGCTACAAAGAATGAGGTAAACTGAAGACTCTCTCCACTATGCAGCCTTCAGATAAATGGCTTTTTTTCTATTGAGTTCTAGGTTTGCACACCACAGTGTTTTGCTAGCAAAGCATTCAGAGTTCTCTTCCAGGGACTGTTTGCATGTGTGTGTATATAAATTTACACACACACACACACACACACACACACACACACATATATACACACTGTATACTGCATCAGCAAAATATATATATTATATATATATTTATATAAATATAAGGAAAATTTCCCCCACCCAACCCCCACCCCCCAACGACATGTTTCTTAGTGTTTGATTTTTTTTTTTTTTTTTGTACACAGAGAATAGGGAATTTCAGAATTTTTACATACATTTTAGCAAACGAGTTTTGATCTATTGGCTTCTTGGTGCGGTAATGCAATGGCAATCCATTCTGGTGCCAAAGGCTCATACCATTACAAGGAAGCTGTGAACTCTAATTTCTTAGGAGGTGAGGCCAGCCCCACATGAACTTCTCTTGCATCCCTCTGGTCCGCCATGATTCATAAATACTTAGACTTATTTTTTTCCTCCCTCAAATGAATCATTAGACGTTAAAAATGGAACAACAGAGTCACAAAGGGCCACATGCTTTTCAGTATAAAGCATTCTCCTTCACTAGGTTGCTATCACAGTGCAGACCTGACTGCCTGAATATGCTCAGGAGATTTAGTCAATATTGTCTGTATTTGGTTATGGAAAAGGCTCTCCTTGTTTTTTGTTTTTAAATCCAAAGTGCATAGTGAGAACAAATCAAAGCATTTTTTTTTTTCTTTTCAGCATCAGTTTCATCTAAGCATCTTCCTATGCGATGACTACTCAGATGCCTTGCCTTTGTCCTCCCCGCCCTCCAAAAATAAAAAAATAAAATAAAATGAAAAATAATAAGAGTCAAGCAATTCAGACATTCATCAGCCTGGTAAACAAACTTTGCCGGCAAATAGAAGTCCTACTATTGTAAAGAAAATTGATAAGACAAAAAGTACATATGATGACCCAACTACTGTGTTGTTGGGTAATTTATATGGTTGACCTCCGACTTCATTGATGTAAAATCCTATTGGAAATATTAGGGCAGCCATACAGAAAAGGATCACTGTAAAACAAACCAGAACACAACATTAGTAACATGGTTTTGTGATTAAGAAAACAATGAAAATTTGGCACAAAGGAAGTTTATAAGAAGGGTTGTGGATTGATGACATGGTCAAATCTGTTACAATATGGATCACTTATCAAAAGATTTGTGTATACTACAGATCCCCAAAGCCTAACAATTAAATACGGTAAAAGCTAGATTAGCCTTTTACATAGTTTTGAATATCAGCATTAAGGAAGGCCTCCAAACCTACTAAGTACTCGTATATACAATTCTTGACCATTTAAAGTAGTGACTAAGGGCTCTGGCTAGTGTCAGACAGGGACTAAGTTCCGGCTCTACTACTTACTAATGGTGTAATCTTAGGCTTCTGAAATTCTGAAAATGGGTAAATATATAGTACAAGGATAAACAAAACAATGTCAAGTCCTTCGCACAGTGAGTGACAGGTTGATAGTAAGTGCTGAATAAATGCTGTATATTATTATTGTCCTAGCATTATTTTGCCAATTCTCTGCTCTCTCAGTTGGTATTAGCTATGAGGAATTGAGAAAAGGTGCATACAAATATAAATACTATTTATCTTAGTCTGATTTAAAATCAGCTCGTGGAAAGAACCACAGGCTTCTGTGACGAGGAGCAAATTGTCAGACTGGTTATCTCTCATCACGGACAACGTTCCAAAAAAAAGAAATCTCCCAGGTTTCTGACTACAGAGTTTAAAGTGGGGGAGAGTGGGGAAATCTTTTGAGTTTTGTATGCAAACACAAGGAAATATATTATTTGCTAAAATGCTTCTAGAAAGATATCAGAAAACCAGGGTCTGGGCAGAAGTAATTCCACAGTTGGCTGTTTTAGGAAACCGTGTGCTCCCCTGTGCTAACAAAGAAACACTCTACTTAGGGAACACAAATTACCTGTAGATAGTCTGGCGTTTCCAAGAAAATATTTTATGCTTTTTGAAAGCATGTTGGTCAAATGTTCATAGTCTTTCAAATTTCTTTGAAGGCAGAAACATTTCTTCAGTGTAATGTCATTCTATAGTCATTCCCGATATTAACTGAATGAGAAAACTTTTCTCAGTTAAACCCATCCCTAGCAATACTGACAGAGTCCTGGATAAATATACCAGCTGACACTTGTCTTAAATTATTTTTGTGTTACTCAATCTACAAAATTTAATAGGAGAGTCCTGAAAAAGCCAATTAGGAATATTTCCTGGAAGGAAGCTCCAGAAATGCTGTAAAACGTAACATTTTCTTAAGTAATACACTAGCTTAAGAAACACACCAGCACTCTCGTTTGCTTCGCACCATTTAGGTGGATTATTTTATATTAAGCAGACATAGAATCTGTTTCATTTTGGGCATATGACCACACCAAATAATGTTACATAAGCAGATTTAGATTCTTTTGGATACCTACTACAGAACAAATGAAAAATTCAGGTATTCAGTATTAGATCTTTTGGCCTTTCTGTTGTATAGTTAGCAATAAATAACTTTATTACTGCTGCCAGTGCCCCTTGATCTGTGGTATCTGTCACCAATCTCTAATGGTTCTTATGCCTTAATATGGTTTGGTAAGTAAAATGAAACCACAATCTAAACAGCTATAGACAATCTAATAAAAACAATGGGAAAACATTATTGTCTTAAAAACAATTTGTTCTTTAATGTGGATTAATCTCTAACCTCAAGAAACACTAAAATAATTTAGAAGTCCTTAAAAGATATGCAGATATTACTGTTGTTCATTCTGTTAATTGATGTGCCAACTTAATTCCTATCCTTTCCTATTTTCTACTGTAAAATAAAAATCTATCTTTTATAATGGAATAATCATTTAATGACCATATTTAAAGCAGGGTTTAATAGTTTACAAGTGTTAAATATTTTCCAAATTGGTTAGGAAAAGCTTAATCAAATTTTAAGGAAGCAATGAACTCCTAATTCTATTCAATATTTGTTTTTAATCCAAGAAATCTAGTTCTCTATCCTGGGGAGATTTAATGTTGGTGGGTGAGGTTTTTTTTGTTTTTGTTTTCCTATTTTTTGTGGGGTTTTTTTAGCTGTTGAGACCTGTGAAGTTACTTTAGATCTTAAAATACTGTTAATGCTGAAAATACATATCAACTTTTGACAATTAAGTTCTGGGCCCTAAGTAAGTCTGTAAAGACATAACTTCATATCCTGTATAGCATAGATTTCTTGGTGGTGAAAGTCAGTCAGGTGTACTGGTAGACAAGTAAATTAGGGTGGCAAAAGCAAGGACAAGAGTCAGACTTGAAGAAAAAGGCACAGCTTTGTCACCCTTCCCCCCATAGGTGAGCCCCCTCATGTGTGGCTCTCCTTTGAACATTTCCACTGTGTAAATCCATCAGAAAATGTTAGCTTATATTCTTACCAAACTATAGCTTAACTGGAATAGAAGTGCATAAAATAGAGATGAAATACATTTTCAAAGACTGAATGGAGACACTAGGGGGAGCCCAATCCCTCTTATGACTACCACCCCAGTAAACTAGCTCTGGGAATGTAGCTCTATGCTTCCTTAGATGACATCAACACCAAGATATATTGTTGAACGAAAAAACCAAGATACAGAATAGTATACATAGAATAAATATGTATTTATAGAACACTCACACATATACATATATGTTTCTATGCATAGAACACCACTGGTAGGAAACCCCAGAAACTGGTGAGAATGGTTGCTTCCAGGAAAGGAGTATCAGACGACTGGGTGACAGTGCCACAAATGAGATTTACTTTTCACTTGGTGACCCTTTCATAGGCTTTGAATTATGTATCATGCACATATTATTTTCAAAAGTTAAATTATTTAAAATGGAAAATAAAGGAAAAAACATTCTGCATTTCAAGGTAGCTATATATTAAATATGTACTTAAATATTTTCTCTTGAAGAGGAACGAAAAACAAGATAATCAAAGTTCTTTCCCTTTACTGGGTCATAAGAACCAATGGCTCATGTATGCACCTTAATGCTTTTCTCTGACTCATATTACTTTGCTAAATAATATTTCAGATTTTTGGTATTCAGAGCACATGCACTCCCAAATTTCAACTAAAGCCAGAAACTAAATCCTTCCTCTTTGATTTTATTTTACTCCTAAAGAGTGAATTCTAAAGAGTGGATAAGTAACTGTATCTGTGAGTAAAGATTCTCTTTAAATTCCCCATCAACACCCTTTAATTTAGTAGCTCTGTCTCTATAACTGCCTCTAGACCCTACTCTTTAGAAAAGAACTGTCTCAGGAGGTCTGTTTGACCTCAAAAAAGATCAACTTGTTTCACATTTCTTAACAAGGATGGAGAAGCCTTTTTATGTCAACTGCAGCTGGATCTAAATTTTAAAATTAAGGGAGAAATAGATACAAAAATAAAACAACAGATCCAGAAACATATACATTCTCTAAAGAGAGTTTCACAGAGAGATAGGGAGAAACAGAGACTCATGAACTAATATCCCTATCCTATGATCTTTAAGAATAAATGGAGTTTGAACATTAATAGGGATACATGGGATTATGCCTTAGCCCTGTAATACAAGTCCTACAC